TATACCCAAACATGGCATTTTCCCTATTTCCTCAACATTGACCCAAAGGTCCAACTATTACCAACAACATCAATAACCTCTTTTTTAGACCCAAAACACAAATGTTTGAATTAAAAGAATAAAACCCTCTTTCCAATATAACACATCTTAAACCCTAACTTCCCAAATCAAACCATTTATACAAAAAGCTCAACATTTAGGTTAAAGCTCATAAAAATGAGTAGTTATCTTTACCTCAAATTCGGAGCTCAAAGAAGGAAGATGAAGAAATTCGAAATGCTCCAAAGCCCAATATTTTGGGATCAAAATGTAGCCCTTAACAAGCTCCACACTTTATACAAAGGCCCAAGGATAGAAGCTCACTCCTACTAGATCAAACCCTAGAGAGAAGTTGGGGTTTTAGAGTAAGGTGCTCTCCAATGGAGGTTTTGAAAAGTAAGAGAGAGAAAGAAAGTGTGAAAAGTGATTTAAAATCACCCAGCTACAATCTGATATACGACTAGTCTGCTCGAGCAGAGAATAGGACGCTCAAGCGTCAAGCACAAAAAATGAACCCGCTCGAGCGTCAAGACACAACTGCAAAACACACCCGCTTGAGCGCAAAAGAAAACCCGCTCGAGCGTAGATTACACTCTTCCAGTACTTTCGCATACAAAGAACACCCGCTCGAGCGCAAGGGTACCCGCTCGAGCGCGACCTGCTTCAGCGTAAGGAAATTCGCTCGAGCGTGAAAAACACATCTGAAGTACTTTTGCAGACAGACAAACTACTGAAGGTGTGCAAACTCCGCTCGAGCGGACCACCAAAAATCTGAGCAACAAGAAATGGGACTAAAGCTCAACCAACCTGTTCGAAATACGCCCAAGACATTTCTAAACTCTAATCCAAAGCATTAAAGGACAGAAATGAAATACAGACAACCACAACTATCAACGAAACCGAGTTCGTAATACAGTAAATAAGGAAGGAAAAACCGGGATCGCTATAGTAACTTATTAATTTAATAAAAAAGAAAGAATAACAAACACAATAAGAAAATAATATTTTAATAAGATTAAATTAGAATAGGGAGTTTGAAACAGTATGCACTAACTCCAACCATACTCTCTACTTTTCACTAGCTTAAGTGCAAAAAAAGTACATTTTTTATTTTACCTAATTACTTTAGCTATTGTGTTCTCTAACCACACTCTTTAGTTTAGCTAATCATTCAAACTAACTTAATTAATTTTTAAAACAAAAAATACTAATTGCTGATATTTTACTAATGTAAATTTGCAATAATAATAATTTTGCCCATACAAGCATACAAAACCTGTAAAATGAGGAGAAAAAAAAATACAAAATATAAAATAAGTTATTTTGTAATTCATCAAACAGAATTGAAAGAATATATAAAATTGTTACATACATATATACATATATAACGTATATAAAATCCCAAATCCAAGACATAAATATACAAAAATCCAAGACATATACATATATATTTGTTTGGAGAGCTTATGGGGCTCTTTAATTGTAGCTAGTAAAAAGATAAGATGATAAAGTAGTTAGCCCAATAGTCAACTCGTTGGAGCCCAAAATTAAAGTTATATTGGCTGAAATGCCTAACAAGCCTTTTTTAGCTATCTCCTTGGAGATGCTATGACTAGCTAAAATAGTAAAATAGCTTTAATTTGACTAAAAATTTGAAGAGATTGGTATGGTTGCTTTAAAAATGATTAAGAGTTAATTTTTTAACTTTTTTGACTATTTTATGTAAGAGGTGATATGATCCAAATTAAATTAAAAACCTATGTTAACTTTTTTTTTTAAGTGTGTTGTCAAAACACCTAGACCATCAAACTATTTCATTGATATTTAAATATGCTAAAAAAAGGCTTTTATTAAATTGCATTGCTACACCCAATATAATCAACTTTCATGGGGGATTTTAGCAACGCCAACTCTGTATTTTACTACACCGAGAGAGCACTCCACTTCTTAAAAGGAATATATAATTTTGATATGCATTTTCCATCATGCGTATCACATGAAAAATAATCATCTCAGAATATCCAAGATCAGGTGCATACTCGATACCATTAACAACCCATGGTACAATAAAATAAAACAATTTGGGCTCGTTTGATTTAACTCTCAAAACATAATTTTTTTTAAAAAAAAAATTCAAAAAATTTTCATCATTACTTTCTCTCTTCATCAATCAATTATTTTTTATCTCTCTTCTCTTCTTAATCAATTTTTTTCTAATACACTTCTACTCAATTACAACAAAATATCAAATCATCTCAAACTCCCATACTCCAAAACTATTTCAAAAATATACAACCAAACAAACCAAAAAAATTTCTAAACTCTTTGTCCAAGATTTTTTTTTTTTTTTTTAAATTTATTTCCCAAACCAAACCAAGGACACCCTTTATATATAATTTTTTTTTTTTTCTGATACACCCTCTCTCTCTCTCTCAAACACACGCCCCCTGTTTGTGAGGTGAATGAATGAAAGAAAAGCTTTAAATTTTAATTTTATATAACTTTTGAAGACTTCGTCATCATATCTGAAAAAAAAAAAAAAAAAAAAAAAAAAAAACTTCATCATCTATTTTCAAATGCCACATAACTAAGTACAAGTTTTCACAGGGCATTTCCACCGACTAGACATATAATGCTTGTTAATCAAAATGTACAGTATAACTCATTTTTTCAACTCTAATGCATTAGACATATGATTAAGTATTTTCGCTCAATTTACATTCACTAGTTATATGTAGCTAGTCTTTAAAGATTAAATAAAATGTATTTAATCATTAGGATTATTTCATTCCATCTTAGTTGTTGACGTGACATTTTATAAAGTTAAATAGTATTTGCATAAATAGTTAAAATAAAAAATATGATTGATTTAGAAACATGAAACAATTGACAAGCAAAATAAAATGTATACTTTAGAATAATATTTAAATAGATAAAATACTTATTAACGTTAGTTTAATCTAATCTAAATGTATATAGTACTACAAATAGTGTTTATTTCAATCTTTTTTCACTCTCTCCTATCTGACATTTTGATATTTATATTTTTTAAATGTCGTCATAATTGGCCAATTCAATAATTCACTTATTTATTATCCAATTAAGCGCTCTATTGATGTAAAATTGTCATACAACGTATTCAACAACAAGAATCTTACATTAATTAATTTAGTTATTTCCTTCTTAATTTGACCATCTTCCAAATTAAGATTATTTAATTTACTTAAAAATAGAAAAATATAGGACAAATTACACCAAAGATCTCTATAGTTTTCCTCAAACTTCATTTTGGTCTCTCATATTTAAATTTGAACATATTTGACCTTTAAGTTTTGTTTTTGTGTCAAACAAGGGCCATTGTGGATGAGAGTTAAGTTTTTTAATGAAAAATGGCACATGCATTGCACATGACCATCTTTTTGGGGCCAAAATGAAAATATATACTAGCCTATTAAGTTGATTCACTTTGAAACATTTATTGAGTTGACTTTCTTATCTACCAATCTTATATCACCAGATTCACTACTTCACATGGCAACACAAAACCAACACATTCTCCTCCTTCCATCTCCTTTACCTACAACCTCACTTTCCCTTCTCTTCCTTTTCTAGATCAAACTATATGGTCCATCAATTCCTTTACTCTTACTTAAACCACCCTTCTTTTTCCTCTCTACTCAAGACCATTCCACAACCCCTCTTTGTACAAATCAACCTACTCACCTCCTTGTGCAGACCACACATTACGTTGAAATTGGTCATTGTTGAAGAGATATAAATTTGATTTGTAATCAATTGAGATTATGAGATTGAGTTATATATATGTGTATAAATATATATATATATATATATGAATCTAGATGTCGATTGAAAATAAAGAGGAAAAGACTCCAATTGCTCTCTTGTTATCTTCACCGAAAAAGGAGGTTTTGGTGGCGGTTGGGGGCTATGCATAGGGTGGTAATGTTTGGTGGTGATAGTGGTGGTTGGTAGCTGTGGGTGGTGATGATAGAAGAAAGAAAGAACATGAATTATAAAGATGAAAGATAAAAAGACTATTTTATCCTTAAAAGATGGTCATGTGCAAAGCATGTGATCATTTTCCATTCAAAAACTTAACTCACGTCTATAATCACTACAAGAAAAGTGACTTTAAAACACGGAACTTTTTGCGACGGCGTGTATACCGTCGCAAAAAGTCAGCTTTTGCGACGGCATTCAAAGCCGTCTCAAATAAATGTATCTGCGACGGTAATCTCCCTGTCGCTAATAAGCAGACAAGAAAAAGTGCCTTAAACACGGAAGCATTTGCGACACATTGTGTGCCGTCGCAAAAAAAAATTCTTTTGAGACGGGTGGAAATTACCATCGCAAATAGAGCGCATTTGTGATGGCAATTGACTGTCGCAAAAGAAACCTTATTAAAACGGCGTCGTTTTAATAGTTGGATTTTATCAGTTGCGACCGTTTATCTAAACCGTCGCAAAAGGTAATGAATTTTCAACTCCCTCCTTTCGCCCAAATTGGCGGTCGATCAAAACCCCAAAAATTTCATCCCCAAATCCCTAACACATTCTCCCTCACAATCACAGAGACTTCAAGTTCCCAATCTCAGAGACGATTTCGAGTTCATGTTCACCGACGATCACAGAAATTTCGAGTTCCCAATCACAGAGATTTCGATTGTTCACCGACGATGATCTCTCTGTCGACGAGCGACGATGGCTAGCGGTGGTGCGGCAACGGCGTAGTACGATCCCTCTCTCTCGCGCGACCTCAGTTAGTATACTCTCTCTCTCTCTCTCTCTCATTTCAATCTCTCTATCTCAATCTTCTTTCATCTTTTGTCTCTTGATTTCGATCTCAATCTGTCACGCAATCACAATCGATTTCAAGACCTTGTGTTCTCTTAATCGATTGATCCTCAATCTCTCACTTTCGGCGTGAATCAGCATCCGACATAAAGAAGACACTGGCATGAATCACTCTCTGGCGTCTCAGCTCTTCAGTGTCGATCTCCTCTTCGGCGCTGATCTCCTTGAAAAACATCTCATATGATCTAAGGTAATTCGAACTAAGTGACTTTTTTTTTACAAAATCAATTAATAGACTAAGGTTTCTTAATCTGAAAATATGATAAATAAATTTTTGACTCTCTTTTTTATTTATGTTTTATTCACAAATAAGTATTCAAATCTTGAACCATACTAGGTGCTGATAGTGTTCCAATTTTCTTTAATTGGTTCGTTTTGAATTATGGTTTTCTACATCAATATGTGGAACATAGGCAAAAGAACCATTTTATTACGCATTTGATCACAAACATTAAGGTTTCTTGTGAACTTCTTGAAGAAGGGTTCTTCTGAACAGAGTGAGTTTTTTTCTGGGTGGATATAGATTACTTCCATTGCAATTTGAATAGTAAAATTCTTGAATAAAAAACGGAATTTTGAACTTGCAAGTGGCCAGATTAGCAGCCTTTTACCTAATTGATATAATTCCGCTATTTTTCTATAATATTTGGAGGTTGTAGTTGTAGTTTAATTTTATTGTGTTCTTTTTAATAGTGGTAGTATCTTTTTACATTTGTTTCATCTACTCAGCATCATTAAAGTTTATCTACTCGTCTTTTTTGCCATGTACACTAGTGTTGGGAGCTAAGGATGGAAACATTTCTGTTGCTTCTGCATTTGCTGGTTACCATGAAGGTGAAGTCCATCTTGTGTCTTATTTCGAAATGTTCTTTATGACGCACCTGGTGAAGATTATATTGATATGCATCTTTATTAATGTTATTGTGGTTTTGATTATATTGATATGCATCTTTATTAATGTTATTGTGGTTTTGATTTCCGTGTTTGTCTACTAGCTGTGCAGGATAGAGACCACAAATTCTTAACAAAAGCTGTTGAAGAAGCATATAAGGGGGTAGAATGTGGAGATGGAGGCCCATTTGGTGCAGTTGTTGTTCGTAATGATGAAGTTGTTGGGAGCTGTCACAACATGGTATTGAAAAACACTGATCCAATTGCACATGCTAAGGTTACAGCAATAAGAGAGGTTAGAATTTGAAATTGCTTATTTGGCCTTATGTAATTTATCTGTTTACAACAAAGTTTCATGGTGCCCTGTTGTTTTAGGAGTTCTTCTTGTTGAACTGCACATGTTATTATGTTATTATGTTATTTTGGTTCTATGCTTTTTTTTTTATTATTTATTTATAGATTTTCTATTCATATATATATATATATATATATATTGTCATCTTATATGACATAATGTTGTGCTTTCAATTTCTCATTGATATTGTAGGTCGAAACAGTAGCGCAGTTTGGTGTGATTTTTCTTCTTTTTGCATTGGGTCTGGAGTTCTCTGCAGCAAAGGTTGGTTTATTTTATTCTTTCTTAATTTAGGATTTGTCAATTAATGTCACAGGCTGTGGTTGATTCTTCATTTTAAACTGCAGCTTCGTGTTGTCCGAGCAGTTGCTATTTTAGGAGGCTTGCTTCAGATATTCTTATATATGTGCTTGTGTGGAATAACAGCATCAGTATGACTAAAAATTTCATCAGAATTTTCATTGAAGTATTTTATTTGGCAGTAATACATTTCAATAATCACAACTACTTCGCACTCAAAGTTGTCTGCTAAAATCTCCAATCACGCCCCTTGGGAAAATTTTATAATATTAATGATGTCAAGAAATTATAGTTATGTTTCTGAGAGGCTTAGCTTTCTCCATGTACAGAAAGCAACATTTATTACGTCGATACCATGTCTATAAATGCCCAGACACTTCCTGAAATCTCTTTTGCTTTGGGGTGGCGGAGTTAAACATGAAGTTGGAATCTAAAAGATAGGACCATATTATTTATCTTTTCATGTTAAATGGTCTGACAATGACCCTTCTGGTTTTGTGTGGTTTTTATGATAATTGTGTAAGCACACTGTGATTAGGGGCATAGTTATTGAATCTGTTAGAAATAAATGCCTATGTTCATCACTTAATTTCTGGCTTGTTCCAGCTATATCATCCTGTTTCGGTCATGCCGGACTGTCTTCCAGCCAGTATATGTGCATTTTTTTTGGAGGTTTTCTTAATATCATGCTTTGTTTGCATTGGTTGAATACATCTTTTGAAAATTGTTTAGTGGAAAACATTTTTTTTGTTTTTGTTTTTGTTTTTGTTTTTGTGTGGAAAATGTCTAGCATGTTATAGTAGGATGAACTCGTTGCTCTAGCAATGGATAAGTGGTGATCAAGTCCTGGTAAGAGCTTCCTCTTCCATGGATTGTGGATTTTATTATTATTTTGATTGATTGATTGTATGTATGTATGTATGTATATATTGTGTGTGTCAATTGTAATTTGAGCTATAGCTATTAAAGGCGCACGGCAGCTCCCGTTTGGTTGCTGAGAAAACAGACGGAAATTAAGAGAAAATTGTGGAATCTTTAGAAGAGGGAGTCTTGACTATGGTTGAAGGGCCATTCTGCCCTGAAATTTGGAAAGTCTTCAAATTTATATTAAACATTTGATCTGATGACCACTTCACGCATTTGATTATAATTTATATTTTCTCATGGATGTGTTCACAAACACATAATAAGCATATCACCTATCAAATTCCCTTGGGTTTGGAAATATATATTTTGAGGGCTCAGCATATGGTCTTTGACAGGCGAAAATGAATCATGTAGTCGACAAATTTAATATAAATGACTTATTATTTTTCCTCAAAAAAAAAAAAGAAAAAAAAAGAGTTATTGCAGTGACAACCAGGAGGAGAAGGAATGCATTGGGTTAGAACATATAATGGTTCATATACTGGAAATAAACTTCTAATTCTGCGTTTCATATATACAAGTATCAGTTAAGTTTGAAAAACAACAATGGCAACCAAGAAAGCCTATATTGAGAATTGGTCTCTAAGATTCAAGTTGTGATCATAATATTAGGCAAGATTTGTTACAAATTCTTGTAAGACTGTAAAAATATGTGATTAAACATCATGTACATGTAAACACATAGTTAGTATTTAAAGTTGGTAGTAACAAGATTTTTTCACAAGAAGGTCAAGATCTAAATTGCCCACAAATCCAGCACTCAATGCTATGGAAAAGCTTAAATTTTTTTGTTGACATGAATTAATCTTTTGGAGTACGCTATGCCTATGTCTCATTTAGTATAGAAACTTGGAGTTGGAACAAAATGTAACTTATTTGTCCTCATATTTAAAAGTTTTTGAAGCTTCAAAGATTAAACCATGTTTCGGGTGTTCAGTTAGTTTTATCTATGACTTGCCATATTCACTACACAAATTTGATCTGTTTACTTCTCAAGCTTCATTATCTACTCTATGCTATTGTTTTTATATACACTTATTTCCAACAACTTATGTAATTGGGCAGATACACCTCAGGTATTACCTCTTGTCTCATTTTATTTTGGTAATTGACAATGGGAGGTGCATTGAGCACGGGTGACAATTTAATGCTCTAGGATACAAGTCTTGACCCGATTGATTTTCTTGGTTTTGCTTTCTGATGCTTTGGGCGTTCAACCATATGACTGAAGAAAAATATGACTTTGTCAGTCTTTAATAAAGTGATTAGAAGCTAACTGTGCATGTTATGACTGTAATTAGCAATTACTTAGTGTTTTTTTCATGCATGTCTATTACTTATTATTTTTTTTATACATGATTAGGTTCATGTATGCCTGTTATATCTTATCTTTTATGGATTTGTTTTATCTTAGCATCTTTTGTTTTAGTATGGCTAAAAAAATATGATATATATATATTGTACCTGTATCTGCGCCTGCGTTTGCACCTGCACCTGCTGCTGCTCCTACCTCTACAGTTACTGCCATGTGAGTATTTTTCTTCTTTGGTTAACTTGTGAAGACTGAAGAGCATGATTTTTTTTTGTCTGTTTATTTAATTTGGACAATACTGGTTACCTTTGTTAATCCAATAATGTGTGTTCAACCAGACCAGAGTCTAATGTCTATGGTCAAGCGGCATCGAATTTGGTTGCTGGAAGTAACCTTGATGGAGCGGTCCGGCAAATTCTTGATATGGGTGGAGGGACTTGGGATAGGGATACTGTTGTTCGAGCTCTTCGTGCTGCTTACAACCCAGAGAGAGCTGTTGAATATTACTTGTATTTGATCTCTTTTGTGAATTTATTTTTCAAATGGGAAGTGCAGAAGCATGACGAAAATTTTTGTTTTTGATTTACGTTATTTAGATTTGTGAACAACATTATGTATTGGATAATTTTGTTGATGTATTGTTATGAATGGAAGAATATTTTAATTATGAATGAATTTTTATTTATATACTGGATTTTTTATATTATTATGTAATTATTGGTTTTTTTTTTAGTTATTTTTCATTTAATATAGGTTATTTTCATATTTTTAATAATTTTATTACAGTTTTTTTTTTTTTTTTTGAGACGGCAGTCCACTCACCATCTCAAATAGGGGTTTTTTGCGACGGTAGTAATGCTGTCGCAAAAGATAGGGCATTTGGTTGAAAATGAGGACTTTTAGCGACGGTGTAATTTGCCGTCGCCAATAGTACTTTAGCGACGGCACCAAGTGCTGTCTCAAATAACCCTTTAGCGACGGTACTTGTGCCGTCGCAAATACCCCTTTTAGCGACGGCAAAACAGTGCCGTCTCAAAAAAAGTCAGATTTTCACGCGTTAATGGCAACGGCATTTTTCCGTCGCAAAAAGGCTTCTTTGCCGTCGCAAACCAAAGGCGACGGCGTCATACCGTCGCTAAAGCCTTTTTGCAACCCCCTCTGTTGCGACCCCCCACTTGCCGTCGCAAAAGGCCACTTACCGTCGCAAAAAACCTTTTGAGACGGCGTTTTGGGTATTTGCGACGGCATTTTACCGTCGCAAAAAATCAATTTTTTTGTAGTGAATTATCCTTATTTGACACATAAACAAAACTTAAAGGTCAAATATATTCAAATATAAATATGAGGGACCAAAAAAAAACTTGAGAAAATCTATAGAGTCCTTTGGTACAATTTGTCCAAAAATATAATTGGTGAGAGGTATGCATGCATACAACAATTAAGAGGAGTAGAAAGCCCTCAAATGCAAAAATTGTTATATAAGTCAAGCAAATTATGTGATTGTGTGCCCGTATAATATTATTTTATGATTTGTCCATTATAGGTTTCTTAGTTTTTACTATTGTGGAAGTACACAGTCACCATGATGTCTTTAAAATACCAGACAATTACTGCTTCAATTGCGTGAAAAACAAAACAAAACAAAAATGAATGGATCAAGTTGACATTCCCTAATTACTAGTATACAATTGATTGGCACTAACTCGTATTCGAAGTTAGGCCTCGTTTGACAATATATTATTTTAATAATTTTATAATTTTTTTAGTTAAAATATGAAATAAAAAAATTAATATGTTTAGAATGATTTTTTAATTTTTTACAAAAAGATGTGCAAAAAGTAGAGAAAAAAGAGAATTTTTGACTTTTTGGTATAAGTTAATGATTTTTTGATTTTTTTAATAACTTTTTGACTTTTAAACTAAAACAACCACTTGCCAAATGAGGCCTGTATGGGGAGCAAATATTCCGGCAAGCCCGTACTCCTTTTCTTCCGAGCTCCGTTTATGTCCGATCACCTGCGCTCAAAGAATGGTGAGCTACCCGGCGGTGTGTGGCCGGAAAAATCCTCCGACGATCAAGTTAGCACACACCTTAGGATAGAGAGAGAGGGAGAGAGGTGTTTGAGTGTAAGAAATTCCTTACAAAGTGTTCATCTGTCGCGTATGGGGGGCGCAGACATGTTTATATACCCTCTGTGCCCTATATCTACTCCCAGTCATCCCCTGACACGTGGCTCCGCTATCCCATCTATCAGCATAAACCTTGCTGAACATCACCTAATCTCAACTGCCTGCCTTCACAGCTGGAGCTCGGCAGCCGAGCTACTCTATCCGTTGCCGTGCCGTGCCGTGCCGTGCTTCATGTCCAAGCACTTCACTGGCTAAGCCCAAGGAGGACCGGGTTAGGCGACATCTCGGCAAAGCCTAGCCCGAGGCACCTCCTGTGGCCGGCCTTTCTGCCGGTCAAACAGTTACCTCGGCTGACAACGCCTTTCCAGGTGCCGGTCACTCAGCTTGTCTTGCTTCGGCCATCGCCCGATCGAGTAGCTCGGTCCAACCGAGCTGCTTCTTTACGGTCTGGGGCGACACACACTCGGCGCAAGTTCTGCCCGGCCCAAGTTCTGGCAGCCCATCTCTTGGCGGATAGTCATTCATCTCGGCCCCATGCACCGTTGGGCTCTCAACCTGCTTGGCCGTTACCTCGGCCCAACTCCAGATCATAAATCGCCCTCTCAATTGCCCCTTAATTCCGTCCACGAAAGCGTGACTGGGATTACTCACTTCGACCGAGATAACATTTCTCCGGTCTCCAAGATGCCAAAGGGCGACCGGGCTAGTGCGAACTTGGCCGGTTGTACGCCACGGCTGACGTCCTCTTCTTCAGAAGTAGCTCGGTTGGCTCGTCGACTCTTCAACCCGTCGCTTCAGTCCTGACGTTGCCATAAATGGGGACACGTAGCGGGCTGCCATTGGTCATCGAGCAGCCAACCCGCCGTTTTTTCCAGAATTTGAATTTGGGCGGCCTCTCGTGCTTACATTTACAAGACCCCCCTTATACCATTTCTTCCTACTGCTGTTTTTCTACCTGACGATTCAGAGCTCAAGCCATTTCCTCTCAGACTCGACTGCCATTCTTCGTGCTTGGAAGAACAGCTCCAGCCCTTCACAGGTAAGATCTTCAATCCCTCTTGAGTTGTTATTTTCTTTCATATTACACACATTAGGGCACAAAAACGTAGCTCTTAGGGCATAGGCCGTAGAAACCGTCCCAAACCTCCCACTGTTCTTGGTGTTCTTCATCTTCCTGAAGAACACTGAAGAGCTGGGACGGACCGGGCTCCTGGTCTTCTTTTGATCCAAAAATCCATTCTAACCGAGCAAATAACATGTTTGTCTCAACCCCAGCAAAAACCGAGATAACAAAAGGAAATGGTCGCTCAACCGGGCTAATATCTGGCCTGCCTGGGCGACCGAGCTCTTTAGTTAGCTTAAGAGACCGAGGTGGTTTGGCACCCTTAACGACCGAGCTAAAGACTAGCTCCTTCCGCGCGACCGCGCTCACACTTACACTTGCCCTCCTTTTCCTGCAGAGTCCAAGGGGACCACTGTCCATTCCTCAGGTTCTCAAGACCGAGCGATTAACAATTGCCATTGTGCCAAACACCTCAGTCGAGCTACCACAGTCCGGCCACAAATGGGGAAATTTCGCTTCCTAGTGGATACTCCGGCCGCGCTAGCTGCTTTCAGAGAGGAGTACGGCATCCCGGCCGACGTCCATCTTGAGCTGGCTGAAGAGGAGACAACACCCTGGGGCAGACTAGACCAATGCCCCTTCACCGTGCTCTCAATTGTCGAAGGGGGCCTCCGTTTCCCGCTCAACCCACTTATAACCGAGTTCCTCCGCCGCACCGGGCTGGCACCCACACAAGTGTCCACCAATACTTATAGAATAATCAACGGCGTTCACGAATTGAACAATCGGCTAGGCACCAACTTGGGTCTAGCCGAGATATTGAGGCAATACACAATGGGCCACACCGGGGACGGCCTAGCTTATTACTTGAAGATAAGACCGAGCAAGGAAAAAATTGTAACCGGCACCCCGGATAAAGATCTTCACGACGACGATTTTTTCTGGGTGTCGAGCAATTACGAAACAGCCGAGGTGCTGGGCTGGTTTATAAACAAGGACTTCGGTTCTTCATGTAAGCCGCTCAAACTTGCTCGGTTAGCCCAACTTATTACTCTGTGACTAACCGATTTTCCTGTTTCTAATGCAGCAATCCAAGCCTTGCAAGCGAACTATCAATTTCCCAACGTTGAAGCAATTCGGACCGTGCTTCGGTATTCTCACCGAGATTGCAACGATTTACTCTGCTACACCCCGACCTATAGGTATTCTGCGCCGCGCCGGAGTAGAGTAACTGACTTCCTCCACGCTCCTTCGCCACCTCCAGACCCTTCCCTTCCTGACGTCCCCTTAATCCGGTTAACAGACGAGCAAGAAATGGCCAAAAGAAGTCGAATCAAAAACCTTCGAACCGCAACCTCGGCCGAGATACCGAGTGTCGTCGCCCGCTCCCCGGCTGCCGGTCAATCGAGTGCCGCCATGGTTGCTTTAGCTTCTCCAGCAGCCGGGCAGTTTGGCCAAGAAACACGCCGGGCTGGCAAAAGACCACGAGCCGATCCCTCCGCCGAGCTCATCACCGAACTGGCAACTGAGCAACCTGTCGACAGGGTCAGCTCCATCCCAGCCTGGCGGCCGCAACTGAAGCACCGGGGAAAAGAGATCCTGGCAAATGCTTCGATCAAAGGCGACAAGGAGCACTTGCTTGCCTTCGACCTCTCCAAGGCTTTGCTACTTCCCAGCAATGTGGTCAGAAGCGACCACGTTCCTGACACCCGGCTGGTCAAATCCGCCGTGAAGTCTATGACCAGGGTAAAAAGTTCAATCCTCTGTTTCAATTTTCGCAAGTGTTTGCACGGTTTCTTCTCTGATCAAATTCTAATTTTGCAGGCCATCCAAAAGCAGCACCTGGTCATGGAGCGTATCCACAGACTTCGGCAGAAGGCGAGCAATACCGCCAGCCAAGTCGAGAGCCTCCAAGCCGAGCTCGGCCGGGCAAAGTCTTCACTTGAGATGGCTAACGCCGACAACAACAGACTGCTCGGTCAGCTCGACGCGGCCGAGAAAAAACGGGATGAGCTCCAGACCGAGGTAGACGAGCTCAAAAAGTCGAAGAAGAAAGCTTGCCGGGCTGCTAATAACGCCGGCTTTAACGAAGCCGAGCAGAGCTACAAGAAGCAAGTCTTTGCAACACAAGACATCTACTTCAAGGCTGGCTGGAAGTCCGCCTACGAACACCTAGGCCAGGGCTCTGACACCGACATATTTGCCAACCCTCCTCCAGCTTCGCTACCGGTCTACCTTGTGCCTTATGCAAACGACATTTTCCGCGCTTTACAAGCTGAGGCCGAGGAAGGACTTGAAGAGGGAGACGGTGAGACAGATTCTGAGGCAGAGGAGACCGAGGTACAAGAGCAGCCCGGCAATGCTGAGCCCGGTGCCCAAGACGCAAGTCCAACCATCAACCTTGATGTTGGCGAGGACGAGTTCACTAATCTCTCCCCCCTAGTTTAGTTTTCTTTTCTTTTTTGCATTTTTGC